GCCAAGGAGAAGATGGGTGAAGGATGTGGCAGATGATCTCCAGATGGGTGTATCAGACGCAGGACATCTTGCTCAGGATAGGAAGGTTTTCTGGAGGGTTGTTATGGCAGCGAGGTTCCGCGAGGGACATGCTACTGAATGAATGAATGAACACCTTGTATCTTCACTATCCAGACTTGCAATGCAAGAATAACCCACATTCACAGAGTTGGCATGGCCCTCTGACATTCTAAGCACAAAGGAAAGAACAAGCATGTACTGTGGCGGTGTAAACATTTTGGGAATCCCTGGGCTGGATAATCTGAATATAACATAATGATTAAAAGAGTCAGTAAGTAGCCCACAGGCAGACTGATATATACCTCCCATCTTGACTGAATGAAACACAACCGTGGGGTGGTAGTCTAGTGCTCAGATGTTTGATTTGTGAATACTGCTCACACTTCAGTTTTGGATTTTTAGTTGTGGAAATTTTAACTTGAGTGCTTTTGCTTCAGTAGAGTTAGATATATTGGATATATAACTGAACTCAAGCAGTCTTTTAATATTCAATCTTTTACTGTATATAGTTTATATTGGGCAATATTTATGAGCCAGCGTTTGGTTTGTGTTGCTGTAGGTGTTCAGAACATTGTACAGCTCAGCGTATGTCTGAACGTGATACATTCACTTCGATTATTGCTTTGTTGTCTTCTTTTTACACTTCTTCTTCATCTTCTTCTTCTTGCTATATAAATAATATGTAATATGTGAAAGATGAGTGTTTTGAATGGTTGAATATAACATATGCCTGAGTCCTGATTTGTGACCCTTTTAAATAAAGTTTGTTCCTTCTGGTACTACTCACAAAAGTCACCCCATCTCATCGGCTGCAAGACTTTGCTGCTGTTTCCGCGTGCTGTCATTTGTTCTAGGACTGTTATGAGGTTTTCCTTCGCCGCCTGTTCACAGAGTGCCGAAAAGTGACTCAGGTTCGTGTGACACGGTCGACAAACTGCCTCTAAGATGACAGTGTGCAGCTGTCTTTTCACAACTCTCATTTGTTTTGAGAACTGTTGTTTCTGGAATGCGTTGTTGTGAGTAGGTCTCAGGCGCCTGGGTGCAAAGTAGAAGTACTGCAGTAGGAAACACCAAAGCTATGACAGTTTATGAGTTTTGAATCAGTAATGTTTTTTTTTAAAAGCTTTTTGGTTTTAGCTGTCGGTGGTACATGGGCTTATAATGTTTAAAATGAGGAACACCTAACACCTCGACTAAAAGAGTGTCCTGGGAAATCCCTTACGAAATCTCGCTGCTAAGATTGGTGACTTTTGTGCATTGTATTCTTCTTTTTCTTCTAGCTTTATAAATTATGTATAGTTGATGTGTCAAAGATGACTGTTTCAAAGGATCAAAAGTAAGATGAATGTGTATGCCTAGTTTGTGACCCTTTAAAATAAATCATGTTCCTTCGTCTTCTTCGGTACATTTTTTTTTTACCTCTTTCTTCTTCGTCTTTTTCATCTTCTTATTCAGCATTCAGAGCTCTTGAAGTTCATTGCTGCATGTGTCATTTTACTGCTTACTTTATGAATTCATAACTTGGCTTTATTGATGAGGGGAAGACTGTGAAATTGCTGAACATTGCCATGTGGTGTTTGCTGTTGTGTTTGATCTCTTTCCCACATCTGCTATCACCTGCCATTTGTTGCCTTAGATGGGAAAACAGTTGACTGCTTCAGATGTCTTTTTGTGCTCGGTTATTTTTAAAATACTTGCTCCTATCTTGTTGATATTGTTTTCTTGGTATTTATGTTCTGATGTTACAATGAACAGGTGTCATTTAAAATAGGCAGAAGCTGTTACAATAAGATGGGCAAACTAAAAGATCATTCAGTTAAGACTTCCATGGTTAAAGATACATTTGAACAATAATCGGTAGGATTTGTGTGTTTCATTTGAAAGAATTCTTACTCTTATGAATTTGGTCTTAAAAGAGTTACTGGCTTGTTGTGTTGTCGTTTACAGCTAAGCTGTTGTCTTTTTGGCTCATGTTTAGTGGCAGTGGGTCTATCTCTTCTTCCCCCCCCCCCCCTCCACCGAATGAGGTCTTCAAGCTCAACCTTTGTTGGAAAGTGGGGGGTGGGGTTAAGTAGGGCTGTACCGAATGGGGAATTTCATTATTCAGCCGGATACGGATATCGGGACCATTCGGCCGAATACGAATAGTGTGTCATCATCATCAGGTGCCCTGCCGACTGGCATGGGCCTTGCCACAATCTGTGATCTCCTGCAGCATGTGTTAGTTCATGTGCTGACACACCTCCATGCCATGCAACAACACTGTCAAGAATCTTCTCTCGTTGTCTTCATCTATTCCTCCTTTCACAGATCTTTCCAGTGGTCACCACATGTTCCATTTTCCCTCTTCTCATAACATATCCGAAAAATTATGACTGTCTCCTTCTGATGTCTGTGATAAGTTGTCTTCGGGCTTCCGCCTCATGGTTGCTTTTTGGGGGAGGGGGGGGGGGGGCTGTCCGAGGTATTTTAAGCATTGTTCTGTAAAACCACATCTTTGAGGCCTCAAAGAAAATTTTTGGCCTGTCTACCGATTGTCTAGGACTCACAGCCATATGTTAAAACTGGATGTATGTAGCAAGCAATAATTCTTTTTCTAACCTTCAATGACAAAGATATGTTGCATAAGATGTTCTTCATTTTATAAAATGCAGTTTTTGCCTGTCCTATTCTGTTACTTATTTCAGTAATGCATCTTCCATCTGATGTTATCCATTTGCCCAGATACATAAAATTGTATACTTTTCCCAAAATAACACCATATAATTCTTTTTTTTTTTTTTTTGATGCCACCATTATTTTTGTCTTCCTACTATTCAAACTGAGGTCCATTCTTCCACTTTCGAATAGTGTATAGTGTATAAAATAGATCTTAAAAAAATACATTCATAATGTTAAATGTACGCTAAAATTTTACTTCACAAAATAAAGTACAGAATAGTAAACATTTAAAAACATTTTATTTTTTGCATCCTTCAGTCAGTCAGTCTGTGGTAACTAATAACTTGCAATAAAAGTATTCATATTTTTATAACAAGTAACTAAACTTGTAAATTGTCACTGACAGCTAAGTTAATCCATGAAAGCCACTTAGGCAACAGGATTTATTGTGTTAATGAGACAGTTATTTCAGTCCATCGCAGTGTATGCAGGAAAGGGTGTAATGTAACCACTATTCATACTCGGCCCAACCGCAAGTATACCGAATAGTTATTAGGTCCACTATTCGACCCTGAAGCAAATACCAAGCGAATATTTGGTACAGCCCTGGTATTAAGTATTTCAGTTCATTAAAATTTAGCCATATTTTTAACTGGTTAGTGTTAGGGTTAGCAAAACACACATTATATACAGAAAACTGAAATAAGTCGCAAATGAAAACCCCATAATGTCACATGATGTGTTTGGACTATACCGGAAACTCCCGGACTTTCTTTGTTTAGGGTGAATTAAAATTGAAGTACCGGGGTATTTTCTTGTTGTGTTCTGAAAATTGATATGATGGGAGTTTTTGTCACTTATCTTCAGTTTATGACCACAGTCACAGAGGTCAGCAGTTTCAGTGTGGTGCTCCAGTAGAAGTTTTTATATGGCTGAACCGGGTTTTGGGGGATTTTCTCACACTGGATTCACATCAACACTTTTTTTATCATTACATATCAGGTTTGTTTCTTTTTCATTAACTAGGCCCCAGATCTACTCTCACCCAGGAGGAGTCAGTGATCTACTTTCATACAAGGGCTCTTTGAAACATCCACTTTCATGCAGGTGCAAGATCTACTCTCTTACAAGAAGAGTCAGTGATCGGCTTTCAGTGAAATGAGAGATCTACGTTCAGTGAAATGAGAGATCTGCCTTTAGTAAAATGAGGGATCTGCTTTCAAACAAGAGTCAGTAATCAACACTCATGCAAGCAAAAAAAAGTCTACTTTCATACCAGAAATACTTAAATGATCTACTTTCATGCAAATGAAAGGTCTGCTTTCATACAAGAACTACTCTGGTGATCTTCTTTCAGTGAAACAACAAACTTGGCCAAGCACAAGCTGGTTGAATCATCAGATTTCATGTCAGACAATGATCTACTTTCATACATTCACTGAACAGAGTCAAGTTGCCATGCAGGAATTTGATGAATTATCTACTTCCACACACAAAAAAATGTTGAATGATTCCTTTGATGTAAGAAGTGGATGAATGATCCATCTTTATACAAGTGAAAATTCTACTTTGATGTGCATGAATCATCTACTTTTTAAAAGCTGAATTAATATGAATTCACACAAATGAATGGCCGACTATTGTGCAAGTGAACAGTCTGTTTTATTCCAAGTGAATCATTGACTTTTTGTATTTAAAAAAAACTTTCTACCTTTCTTCAAGCAAATTATCTACTTTTAGTGTAAAACCTAGGTAAATTGTAAGCTTACACACACGTGAACAATATACTTTCAAACAATTTAATGGTATACTTTCACACAAGCCTGAAACAGAAAGTCTGTTTTCATATAAGTGCGTAGTCTACTTTCAAACAATCAAATGAGCTACTTTTAGTTTATAAAATTGACTTAATTATCTACTTTCAAAGAAAAGGAAGTGAATATTAAACAATAAGATTTGGGAGTCACAACCTGGGCTCTGCTTGTACACAGCAGGCGACAGTAGGAATTGCGAAGCTGCATCATGGGTTCTGCTCACACACAGTAAGCAACATTGAGATTTGGAGAGTTGCAACGTGGCTCGTCCAGCACACAGCTTCACAGAATAAGCAGTAGTAAAGTTTGTGCAGACTCAACGTTTTTATGCAGGCACACAAGTGACAGTAGAGTTGGTGCAGTCACCGCGTGGATTCTGCCTGCCCACCACTCCAAACAGGAAGAGATCTGTGCACACACACACTGTGGGTTGTGCCAGCCCACAGCTCTACACAATAAGCAGCTATGGATGTTATCCAGTGTGTGATCCAAACTTTGACAGAAAACCCGTCTGCTGCCCTGTGCCTCGGCTTTGCCCTCCTTTATGCTGCATATTACTTTCTTTATGTGGGCAAGGTAAGTAGCCGGGAGAGTGTGGCTACCGTTGGTAGCAGAAAGTGTAGCTACAATTGTTTGAGGAGTGTAGCTACATTTAACAGCAGAGAGTGTGGCTACAGTTGATTGATAGCAGAGTGTGTGGCTACAGATTATTGAAAGCAGAGTGTGTGGCTACAGTTTAATGAACGCAGAGTGTGGCTACAATTGTTATCAGAGAGTGTGATGGCTACAGTTGAATGATAGCAGAGTGTGTGGCTACAGTTGAATGATAGCAGAGTGTGTGGCTACAGTTTTATTGATAGCAAAGTGTGGCTACAATTGTTAGCAGAGTGTGATACCTACAATTGTTATCAGAGATTGTGATGGCTACAGTTGATTGAAAGCAGAATGTGGCTGCATTTGATTGATAGGAGAGAGAGGTGGCTGCATTTTATTGATAGAAGATAAAGGGGGCTACATTTTATTGATAGCAGAGTGTGTGTGACTACATTTGATTGGTAGCAGAATAAGTGTGGCTACACTTTATTGGTAGCAGAGAGTGTATGGCTACAGTTTATAGTAAGTATATGACCACAAGGGATAACAGAGAGTGTTGCTGATGGCAGAAACGGTGACAGTGTTTCTTCTTCTTCACTTTTTTATTTTCATGTCATTAGTTTATTCTCCTCCCATGTTCCCTTCTTCTGTTTCTTTTCCTTCTCCTCATTCTCCACCTGCTTCTTCACCCTTCTCCTCCTCATTGTTTTTTTCCTCCTCGTGGTTCGTCACCTTCTCTTGGTTTGTCTCCTCCTCATGGTTCTCCTCCTCATTGTTCTTCTCCTCCTCATTGTTCTTCTCCTCCTCATTGTTCTTCTCCTTATTGTTCTTCTCCTCCTTATGGTTCTACTCCTCCTCATTGTTCTTCTCCTCCTCATTGTTCTTCTCCTCCTCATTGTTCTTCTCCTCCTCATGGTTCTTCTCCTCCTCATGGTTCTTCTCCTCCTCATGGTTCTTCTCCTTATTGTTCTTCTCCTCCTTATGGTTCTACTCCTCCTCATTGTTCTTCTCCTCCTCATTGTTCTTCTCCTTATTGTTCTTCTCCTCCTCATGGTTCTTCTCCTCCTCATTGTTCTTCTCCTCATTGTTCTTCTCCTCCTCATGGTTCTTCTCCTCCTTATGGTTCTTCTTCTCCTCATTGTTCTTCTCCTCCTCATTGTTCTTCTCCTTATTGTTCTTCTCCTCCTTATGGTTCTTCTCCTCCTCATTGTTCTTCTTCTCCTTATTGTTCTTCTCCTCCTCATGGTTCTTCTCCTCCTCATTGTTCTCCTCCTCATTGTTCTTCTCCTCCTCATGGTTCTTCTCCTCCTTATGGTTCTTCTCCTCCTCATTGTTCTTCTCCTCCTCATTGTTCTTCTCCTTATTGTTCTTCTCCTCCTTATGGTTCTACTCCTCCTCATTGTTCTTCTCCTCCTCATTGTTCTTCTCCTTATTGTTCTTTTCCTCCTTATGGTTCTTCTCCTCCTCATTGTTCTTCTCCTCCTCATGGTTCTTCTCCTCCTCATTGTTCTCCTCCTCATTGTTCTTCTCCTCCTCATTGTTCTTCTCCTCCTTATGGTTCTTCTCCTCCTCATTGTTCTTCTCCTCCTCATGGTTCTTCTCCTCCTCATGGTTGTTCTTCTCCTCCTCATTGTTCTTCTTCTCATTGTTCTTCTCCTCCTCATTGTTCTCCTCCTCATTGTTCTTCTCCTTATTGTTCTTCTCCTCCTTATGGTTCTTCTCCTCCTCATTGTTCTTCTCCTCCTCATGGTTCTTCTCCTCCTCATGGTTGTTCTTCTTCTCATTGTTCTTCTCCTCCTCATGGTTCTTCTCCTCCTCATGGTTGTTCTTCTTCTCATTGTTCTACTCCTCCTCATTGTTCTTCTCCTCCTCATTGTTCTCCTCCTCATTGTTCTTCTCCTCCTCATGGTTCTACTCCTCCTCATTGTTCTTCTCCTCCTCATGGTTCTACTCCTCCTCATTGTTCTTCTCCTCCTCATTGTTCTCCTCCTCATTGTTCTTCTCCTCCTCATTGTTCTTCTCCTCCTCATTGTTCTCCTCCTCATTGTTCTTCTCCTCATTGTTCTTCTCCTCCTCATTGTTCTCCTCCTCCTCATTGTTCTCCTCCTCATTGTTCTTCTCCTCCTCATTGTTCTTCTCCTCATTGTTCTCCTCCTCATTGTTCTTCTCCTCATTGTTCTTCTCCTCCTCATTGTTCTCCTCCTCCTCATTGTTCTCCTCCTCATTGTTCTCCTCCTCATTGTTCTTCTCCTCCTCATTGTTCTTCTCCTCCTCATTGTTCTTCTCCTCATTGTTCTTCTCCTCATTGTTCTTCTCCTCATTGTTCTTCTCCTCATTGTTCTTCTCCTCATTGTTCTTCTCCTCATTGTTCTCCTCCTCCTCATTGTTCTCCTCCTCATTGTTCTTCTCCTCCTCATGGTTCTACTCCTCCTCATTATTCTCCTCCTCATTGTTCTTCTCCTCCTCATGGTTCTACTCCTCCTCATTGTTCTTCTCCTCCTCATTGTTCTCCTCCTCATTGTTCTTCTCCTCATTGTTCTTCTCCTCCTCATTGTTCTTCTCCTCCTCATTGTTCTCCTCCTCATTGTTCTTCTCCTCCTCATTGTTCTTCTCCTCATTGTTCTTCTCCTCATTGTTCTTCTCCTCATTGTTCTCCTCCTCCTCATTGTTCTTCTCCTCCTCATTGTTCTTGTCCTCATTGTTCTTCTCCTCCTCATTGTTCTTCTCCTCATTGTTCTTCTCCTCATTGTTCTTCTCCTCATTGTTCTTCTCCTCATTGTTCTCCCCCTCCTCATTGTTCTTCCCCTCCTCATTGTTCTTCTCCTCCTCATTGTTCTTCTCCTCCTCATTGTTCTTCTCCTCCTCATTGTTCTTCTCCTCCTCATGGTTCTTCTCCTCCTCATGGTGTTTTCTTAATTATTCTTCTCCTCTTTATTGTTCTTGTCCTCCTCATTGTTTTTGTCCTCCTCATTGTTTTTGTCCTCCTCATTGTCTTTCTCCTCCTCATTGTTCTCCTCCTCCTACCTCATCTGCCAGACACTTCTTGTGGACAAGATCTTCCTCCACTGCCTGGCTACAGCACCATGCGTCCATTTCCCTATCCTAGCCTCTCCATTGCCTCCTGTTATCCATATTTATTGTGTACACCATTGCCTCATCCACTGCTGCTGAACTTCTGCTACATATTCAGTTCACCACAGCCATGTAGCAGTATCACCTGTGTGACTGCTGACACCTTTTGGCTACCCTCAGTTGTCAGCCAAACCCATGAGACAACAAACAGGCAGTTTATTACTGAACTCGCACAGGTGTGCAGTCATTACCCCTCTAGAGGGCCTGTTCGGTCTTTTTTTTAAAATGAAAGATGTTATCTCTGTTAGCTCCTGTTGCAGGTGTTCATTGTTGGACATCTCTCATTCTGTAGGATCATTAGTAGTTTCACTCAGTGTTGGACATCTCTCGTTCTGTAGGATCACTAGTAGTTTCACTCAGTGTTGGACATCTCTCGTTCTGTAGGATCACTAGCAGTTTCACTCAGTGTTGGACATCTCTCGTTCTGTAGGATCACTAGCAGTTTCACTCAGTGTTGGACATCTCTCGTTCTGTAGGATCACTAGCAGTTTCACTCAGTGTTGGACATCTCTCGTTCTGTAGGATCATTAGTAGTTTCACTCAGTGTTGGACATCTCTCGTTCTGTAGGATCACTAGCAGTTTCACTCAGTGTTGGACATCTCTCGTTCTGTAGGATCACTAGCAGTTTCACTCAGTGTTGGACATCTCTCGTTCTGTAGGATCACTAGTAGTTTCACTCAGTGTTGGACATCTCTCGTTCTGTAGGATCACTAGCAGTTTCACCCAGTGTTGGACATCTCTTGTTCTGTAGGATCACTAGTAGTTTCACTCAGTGTTGGACATCTCTCGTTCTGTAGGATCACTAGCAGTTTCACTCAGTGTTGGACATCTCTCGTTCTGTAGGATCACTAGCAGTTTCACTCAGTGTTGGACATCTCTCGTTCTGTAGGATCACTAGCAGTTTCACTCAGTGTTGGACATCTCTCGTTCTGTAGGATCACTAGCAGTTTCACTCAGTGTTGGACATCTCTCGTTCTGTAGGATCACTAGTAGTTTCACTCAGTGTTGGACATCTCTCGTTCTGTAGGATCACTAGCAGTTTCACTCAGTGTTGGACATCTCTCGTTCTGTAGGATCACTAGCAGTTTCACTCAGTGTTGGACATCTCTTGTTCTGTAGGATCACTAGTAGTTTCACTCAGTGTTGGACATCTCTCGTTCTGTAGGATTACTAGTAGTTTCACTCAGTGTTGGACATCTCTCGTTCTGTAGGATCACTAGCAGTTTCACTCAGTGTTGGACATCTCTCGTTCTGTAGGATCACTAGTAGTTTCACTCAGTGTTGGACATCTCTCGTTCTGTAGGATCACTAGTAGTTGTGTTGGACATCTCTCGTTCTGTAGGATCACTAGCAGTTTCACTCAGTGTTGGACATCTCTCGTTCTGTAGGATCACTAGCAGTTTCACTCAGTGTTGGACATCTCTCGTTCTGTAGGATCACTAGTAGTTTCACTCAGTGTTGGACATCTCTCGTTCTGTAGGATCACTAGCAGTTTCACTCAGTGTTGGACATCTCTCGTTCTGTAGGATCACTAGTAGTTTCACTCAGTGTTGGACATCTCTCGTTCTGTAGGATCACTAGCAGTTTCACTCAGTGTTGGACATCTCTCGTTCTGTAGGATCACTAGTAGTTTCACTCAGTGTTGGACATCTCTCGTTCTGTAGGATCACTAGTAGTTTCACTCAGTGTTGGACATCTCTCGTTCTGTAGGATCACTAGCAGTTTCACTCAGTGTTGGACATCTCTCGTTCTGTAGGATCACTAGCAGTTTCACTCAGTGTTGGACATCTCTCGTTCTGTAGGATCACTAGCAGTTTCACTCAGTGTTGGACATCTCTCGTTCTGTAGG